CGCGGCTGGGCTTATTAGCCGTGGGCTTAATAACCGGCGACTACTGTATTGGACTTTTTCTATAGCACAATGCATACTAATCAAACGTTTGGTGCTGTCTTATTCAATAACATAGGAAAAACCGTTGATACGAGACGACTCCCAATTTCGCCAAAATTAATGCAGAATAACCCGAATAAACATAAGAAAGAGAGCGACTGTCCTATCTAAAGGCCTGCCTCGGAAAAAAATCCACTCATTTAATCAAAATGACGTGAATAAATATATGCTCAATTACCAAGTCAAATTCGGTCATGAATGTTGCAGGAGATTTGCGCATTTATTTTTCACTTGCGTCACTTGTGGTGCAGGATATATTATCCTATATAAGAAGCGCATGAACGAAGGAAATACCCGCCCATAATACGGCGCCCAAAGGTCACAAAACCTGAAAAACATACGTAAACGAATGGCGTAGCTATTCCACAAAGTTGTGACCAGTCTCTCTCGTATGTGTATCAAGCCTCCGGGGCGCCACTTTGTGATCGTACAGCCTGGAAGAAATTTTTAAACTATGCAGACGGGTATTTACTAGATCAATCTTGGTGTTGGGCGATAGCGCTTTGTGGAAGGCAATTTTGCCTATGTATACCTGTCGGAAGGAGAGATCGTCGACTCTGAAGGTTCCCAAGTCAAGACGTCAGTAAGACCAAATAGTTAGGACAGTATACTGTGGAAAGGAGCTAACAAAGGGCTCTGCAGAAGCCAGCTGCGCACAGTGAGTAAGCCAGATGACGTGTGTGTGTCCGAGTGGAAGTAGGTCAAGTCGTTGCAGATCAGCGCGTCTGTAAGCGCTGACTGGGGTATCTGATGACCTTGAGGCAGCTTGCCTCGGACAATGATGCCGAACGAAGCAATGGAGGGCGTCGGACGGCAGAGACCACTACAAGTGCTTCCCTCCTAGACCGCAGTAAGGATACTGAAAGAATCCGAAGTGAGGAAGACGAGTTAAATTTGGTAAGAAAATTACAAGCCAAAGTGCAGTTGCAAACAGTGTGAGCGGCTGTGGTTGGCATAAATGAGCCAGGTCACAGGGGCGACTGGATAAAG